TCCATGAGTTTCAATGTATTTTGATATTCTTTGGTTCGAGTATTAGAAGCTCCCAAATAGTCAATTTAGAACAAAATTCAACAGCCCCTATCCATTTTTTTTATGCTCTGGTACATGGACAAACAACAAAATTTGGGAAGTATTTACTGGTGTCTCTGTCAGAAATTTAGATTAGCGGTAGATATTTGAAGAACTACCTTTATTTCTTATGTACTTCAAGTAGCCGGCATTTTCATGATGCCTTATGACAGCACGTTACCTTACTGACCTTTTTGGCACAACACACTACAATTCCTTAATTATTTTTAATCTCTTTTTAATGTCATTAGTGCAACTAGCACATTCCCTACTACCAGTGGAAGTGACCAGTGATAATCTTAAAATAGGGTAGCCTGACTGTGCCTGCTGTCTTTTTTATTATCCATACTTTTTTGTGCACCTCTAAAAATTGGGACAGGTGTCACAGACCCTGTCTGTCAGCTGGCATGGGAAGAGTCAAATTATTCATTGCAACCAATATGAGTGAAATTCGCCTTGAGAAATGTCACCTGCTCTGTGAGTGGTTCATTTTGCATCTGCATTCTCCAAAGTTAGGTAGTAGTCCTATGTGCATGAAGCAGATGAATGTTTTTGTTTCATAGGATAAGTGCTTTAATTTCTTTTAACTTAATCAAAGTTGAGACCTAACAGGTTTTACCAGTCTCTTGGAAAAAAAAAAAAAAAGCTGTTAATACTTTAGTGTCATTCAAGCTTTTCATTTCAGGTATTCATTAGGAAAGAGATCAGGCTCAATTTGACCAAACTTCATTTAGTTCTTTTACAGAGTACATTTAGACGCCTCAGTGAAAGGTGTTTTCTCGTATTTTTTTTTAAATAGTGACTCCTGGTTTCTTGTGTTTTGGGGTTGGTGTGTCTGTTTTGTTTCTCTCTTTAAATTGCAAGAAAGACAAAGCTGAGAGGTTTTGGAGCATCACCAAATTGCATAATCAGAAAGCCTTAGGATCAATGTTCTAATTAGCCACCACCTCTCGAGAGGCGGTGACTGGGCAAAATTCACTCTATCGCCTCTATTGGTTTGGTTACTGCAAGTTCATGATACGCCAGTTTTGCATCATTAGACCAAAAATAAGAAAGGAAAACAATCTCGAAGCAATTCGCTTTAGAACAAAAAGAATTCAGTATCTCTTCTGAGATGTTTGTTGCTTTTAAGATATTTTGATTGCTTTCTTCAGGATAAGATTACCTTGTAGGAGAGGACTGAGTCAAATTAGGCTGTGTTCTACCTCTGTATGCTCTGCCTTTTCCAGTGTGATAGGCTTTGGTCCAAGGTGATCCTAGGTAAAGGGTAACAAAATCTGAAGAGGACAAAGTGTGGAAATGTTTCAACAGGAGACCTTGTATTGAGGAAGGACTTGCTTTGTCTGCTTTAGTTCTGTGGATTTCTCTGAAAGGGAAGAATCAGAAATCTGCTGTTTTGGCTTTTGCATCTGAAGCACTGGCAAGGATATTTACCCCTCTCATCCCCCTCCCCCCTCCTTTCCCCAGTGTACACATGTATGCATTTCTGAAAGCACATAATAGCAAGAAGAAAAGCTGTGAAAATGAGACTCTTTCCTAAAATGAAACTTGTAAATTCATCTTCTCTAGAAATCCAAAGCATGGTGGCGCAGTACTGGTCACTTTGCTGTCCAGTGAAAAGATGTCTTTGTTCTTCATAACAGTCTAGAAGTCAAAGGTTAAAGGCTGAATTCTTCCTATGCTTTTTCTCAGGCTGAATCTTACCCAAGAGATCAACCAGATCCAGGCATTGTGTCAGAAACCTTTGAAATAAAGGATGAGCTCAACTTGGGAATATGTGAGAAAAGCCATGAGATAAATGATTGATAGGAAAAATGGGAGGAAGAAATATCTATTGAATGAAATATCTATTTCATTTTGACATATAATCAGAGCACCTACTTGTTCATTTAGGTTTCCCTTTTTAATATAATACCAATTAATTGAGGGGAACTTGTTCAGTATCACTGAATATGTTATCCCACTTCTGGGCAAGAGTGCCCAGAGAACAATGTCTCCCCTCCAGCATTACTCTAGACCTTCACAGAAAAAGTCCTGGATCTCTGAAATTCTTTGTGCATTACCTTGTTTATCAGATCAAGTTGTCTTTTTATTTTTGGGTTTTCTGACTGGAATGGTGCCTCTGCCACTTAAATGTGTTAGAAATTGCTGCTTTACTATTCACTGAGAGGAAGACATAATGTTGGTCACCATTGCTTGACTCCAGCTTTTCTGTTATATTTCGGCTTGACTGTCATACGCAGCCTTTTTAGAAGACACTGTATGTGTATATAGGTAAATGATATGTAATTAATTGGAAGTCAAAGATTTAAATTTAGAACTAAGCTAATATTTGAATTTGTATAAGCTACCTGTACCATGTGTGTCTTCAAGGCCAATCTTTATTTCAGGTAATAGCAAGTGATATTTGGAGGTGAAACTTTGTATCATAGCACTTCGCAGTAACTTTTCCAGCACTGACTTTGTCCTTATTTGTATTTTTTTGAAGGCTCAGCCTTGGGCCGAAATAATAAACCTATCCCATCTTCTGAAAACCCTGTAGTGTATTTAACTAGATGATCCTTAAGATCCCTTCCAACCCTAATCATTCTGTTATTTCTGGAAGTGGTCCCTGGAGTAACCCTGTAGTGAAGGTACTCTAATTTTCTGCCCATATGGCTTTCTGTCATGAAATCAAAATAAAAGCTCTTCTAGAATGATCAAAATGCATTTAGGGAAAGGGGTTTTTCTATCATAGAAACAAGACACTTGCCAAATGTATCCACTAACAGCTGCTCTGAACTTTTTATATAGCATTTTCTGAAAATGGTGTATTAGGTTATGTAGGGCTATGCATTCTTTTGCTAATTCTGATTTTCAGAGCCAAAGTAAATTGAGAGATTCAGAGCACTATTAGCAAGCAGAGTACTCTATTAGCTAGTTATGCCACCACTTTGTATTAAGCCTAGAGCTGGAATTCAATGAAGAATTATAATTAAAAGGACAGTTTGGAAGAGGTAATGTTTTTATATTTCAACATTTTCCTTCGCCTTGTGAAGTTGTATATTATGAGCTGCATACTCTCATTGATGCAGTTGCCCACATTCAAAAGAAACTGTGAAAGTGTTTGTTGATGGGGTTAGCCCCTTCCTAAGAAAAAGTGCATATGTGTATGTATTTTAAAAAACATGCTTGAATAGTAAATTTATATACCTCAGCTGTCATAGCACTCCCAAAATTGTAATTGTAAAGTGTTTAGCTGAATTGAATTTGTCTGGAAATTTATTATTCAGCAAGACCAGATACTATCATCACCTGTACTTGAACCAGATGTCGACATGCTGGAACCTCATGAGTTTTCAAAACCTGAATCTCTAGCAAAGTTCATGGTCTCGCTTTCTCTTATGAGAGAGAGTACAAGGCACTGTGAGACCAGAAGGCATTCAGTTCATTTTCTGGAGTGTCCAAATAACAGATAGTTATTCAGGGCAGCAGTGAAACAAGGACTTTTTGTTAGCACCTAAAAAGAGAATCATAGAATGGTTTGGGTTGAAAGTGACCTTACAGATCATCTAGTTCCAACTCTCCTGCCATGGGTAGAGACACCTTCCACTAGAGCAGGTTGCTCAAAGCCACATCCAACTTGGCCTTGAACATTTGCAGGGATGGGAAATCCACAGCTTCTCTGGGCAAACTGTTCCAGTGCCTCACCACCCTTACAGTACTCACAATAAAGAAGTGCTTCCTAATATCTAATCTAAATCCGCTCTCTTTTGTTTTAAAGCCATTCCCCCTTGTCCTATCACTACATGCCTTTGTGAAGAGTCCCTCTCCAACTTTCTCATAGCCCCTTTAGGTACTGGGTGGTGTTCTAAGGTCTCCCTGGAGCCTGCTTTTCTCCAGGCTGAACAGCCTCACTTTTCTCATCCTGTCTATGTAGGTCAGAGATTCTCCAGCTCCCTGACCATCTTCATAGCCCTCCTCTGGACTAACTCAAGTACGTCCATGTCCTTCTCTGTTGGGGATAAAGAATAGTAAGGGTGATCACAACACCAAGTAAGAGACACTGTGCTGCTCTTCAACTTTTAAGTTTATTAGTTCAAACATTAAAAATATATAGTTTGGTTTTCTTTGTTTTGGAGTCTTTTGACAGGAAATATATTTAATAAGCGTGATATTTTGTTTGAAAAGCCTCTGCAGTCAGGAAGACTAAGACATAATTATTAAAGTCAGGGAAATAGAAACCAAAACTACATTGAGTCTAACAGAAAGACAAAATAGCTTTTGTGTGAGTTTTAGGGTAGAATGGCTTATGATTTATTATTATTAAGCTTCTCAGGCAGGCAGTGTTGCAGTGTACTCAGCATCAGAAGCTTGTGCTGTGTATATACAGGACAGTAAACAAGCTAGCCTGAGCCTGACAGCAGCCAAGTGTTTCATCTTTGCTGACTAGATCTGCTCCTCTTCTAGTTGTTCTATGCTCCGAGAACAGTTTCACAGTTTCAGGTACCCATATACCTGTGCTAGTTAGGAATTAAGTCGTTATTCCACCACTTCTATACACAGGAGTGTACAGAAGATACCGTATGAAAGACATCCTGAAACTGTCTGGTTTTTTTATTACTCAGTTTCTATGAAACAACTCTTTTATTTAGATAGTCTCTCAGGCTTTCAAATAAACCTAGTTTTGAAATACTGGGTTTTTTTAATATTTTCTAGTGGGTTTTTTACCTATTTAATGAATTAAATATGCTATGGAAAATCAAGTAGAGTTTTCCTCCTTAGTCTGGAAAAGCATACTTACTAGAGTGCTCGACAGGTAATAGATGGATAATATAATCGGCAAGTGTTTGTCAACAAACCTTATTAGCAGTCACGAGTTTCCTCATAAGTCATAAGTTGCTCTACACTGCAATTTACTGCTGTTGTATTTTTATAAGCCTTGGGGCAAGGTATTGTGTCTAGGACAAATACTGCTTTATGCCCTTACTGATGTCTGTCATTTCATTCGCTTACAGTGTTTGTTCAATCTTGGTGTGACGGACAGGTCCTGGTCAGGCAATGTTGCCAAACATACAAGAGAGTCCTAGGGAAGAAAGAGGATGGCAGAATATTCATTGTTTCTGTCCTGCCAAAAGGCACAGGAAAAATACAGAGAATAAAACACATGTGAAAGTCTTGAGCATATTCTCTGTCCCCTTGTTCCACAGATGTTTAAACAAGTCTTTTACCTGTTGAGCATTTGTGCTATATACTTTATTTCCTTTGAAAGTAAGACTTTAGTTATCTTCAATCTTCAGAAGAGACCAGAGATTTTTTTTCAATATCCTTGCCAAAGCATGCTGGCTGCCAGTTAAAGTCTTCAGATACCTGATGTAAGCAGAAAAGACAGAAGATTATATGACCACATTGGCTGCAAAGTGTAAAAGTAAACAGGGAAGAGATTCAGAAAAAAAGTTGTGGAAGAAATGTATTGAAAAAGACAGAAAATTACCTGTAGTAGACAAATATCCTTTAAAAACAAGTAAATGACAAAAAACAAAAAGGTGCTTTGGGGTATCACTATGGCCTAGTTACCTTGATACATGTTTTAGAAATTCAGAGCTGTGATAAGAACAGACTTCAGTTTTTTTCAGCTATGAGCTGAGAGCATTCCACTGCAAGGAGAAGTCCCTCTTGGGTCCCTGCCTGCTCTGATGCTCCCTGCCTGCTCCTGTAGCCTGCCAGCAGTGCTGAACAGCAGTGTTGGCAGACGGTACTTTTCTGTCAGGGCCAACACTGAAAATGTGAATGGGCAACTTCTGTCAACAAATTAGATAATATCACCATGGAAATTTAAGGAAGACCAAAAAGCTTTGCATTGACAGCTCAGTAGCCTTCAAGCAATGACATCGAGAGTTAATAGCCTGGGCAAACTCCCAGTTTGCTGCCTAACGTGACTTCCATCTTTAACTCTGGTGTTCCTCATTTTTCCCCCATTATTTATCCAGTTATTGAATCATAAATACAGACTATCATTTCAATAAGTCTTGTTTGTTTAGAAAAACTTTGTCTAGGGCCTTAAGGTAGCCAGTATCCACTGGATACCCATTTCAGTATCCACTGAAATAACAAGGAAATATCTTATTTTACTAAAACTTTCAAATTTAAAAGAAAACCAACAAAACCTGACTTTGAGATTCTACTAGTCATGGAGTTATGAGGGTGACTTCTAGGAAGTAGAAGCTAAAAAAATGAAATGGAAAAAGCTGTCAAAATTTTAACTTTCTATTTGAAGTGCCTTGTTCTTGATGCCTGATTCAGATAGTCTTAGGACAACTGTATTATGGGAAAAATACTCTAGGAATGTTAAACTGTCTGCATCTGGATGCTTAAATAAATATGAAAATTCACCAAATCATTAGTTGTTCTTGAAATAGCTACACATGTAGACGATGGAGAGGATTTGGAATAATTTGGAGAGGTTGGTATTTGCACAGCAGTAGGGAAGAAATTATCCAGATGAGAATTAAAACAAAACTAACAACAAAACATGCATAAAATTGGACAGGTATGATGGGATTGAAATATCACCCAAGTTAAACAAAACATCTTGTTTACTTATAGCTTAGAGTTATGCAGATGGTGAATTATTTGGGCTAATTTATGCAAGATACCCCCAAATAACCCATCTTCAGTGTTGCTCGTGTACCTATGAGAGATTGTCATGCCTTGTCTTCCCAGGACAAAGGAAATATGATTACAAAATCATAATACATTCCTATGGACACCAGTCAGCACTTCTGAAGGGACATAAGTGCTACAATATAGTACAAATTTGTATTTTACAAATTTTTTTTTTTTTTTTTACTTCTGGTCTATTGAGTGCTTTTGTATAAATCAACATTCGTAGATACAGAGTCAGGGAAATGGGAAAATATCATGTTTCTCTGTGGATTATACTCTTTTGCCTTACGTTTGCTTTTCTTGGCAAGAAATGTAGGTGAGGCACTGACAACAACAAGCATGCCTCCTAGATTGAAAATGCAGAATACTTTTGACAGCCCTCCAAGGCTTATGTTATCAGCCAAATTAGTACTGTTCCAATTAAATCTGCTTCAGGAAGAATTTCTTCACTGAAAAGATGGTAAGGCATTGGAATAGTTTGCCCATGGAGGTGATGGAATCGCCATCCCCAGAAGTGTTCAAGAAACAACTGGATTGTGGTACTTAGTGCTGTGGTTTAGTTGACAAGATGGTATTTAGTCAAAGGTTGGACTTGATGATCTTAGAGGGCTTTTCCAGCCTTAATGAGTCAATGATTATATGAAGGCTAAAAGCTACATTGCCTAGCACTTTTCACATTTTTGAGACCCTATCTCACAACTTAGAAGTCTTCCATGGCTGCTCATGCTCAGTGGTCTGAGCAATCCAGTGTGCTGCAGATAGAGAGGGAAAATGGTGACTCTCCATCCCTTGCCACTGACCCCATCTTCTTTATCCTAAATGGACCTTCCCTCCAACAGCCAAGGAAAGTTCTCTAGTTTGGGGGCTTCTGTTTTTTTTCTGTGGGGTTTTTTGGGTGTTGGATTTATTGTTTGGGTTTGTTTTTTTTTTCTCCCCTTGCAGGGGAAGTGGTGCTCCATACTTTATACAGTTTAACATTCGAAGGCACAGAAACAGTTCTGAGTGTCCAGACATAAGAAGGATGCTACCTTTTGACACCTGAACTTGATCGTGCTGATGTAGAAACACATCTTCCTTAAGCCTTATGATGTGCGCTGAACAGTTATTGATTGTGAGAACCATGGCCTGACAAACAAATCTTTCCACAAATACTTATCTGAATACTTATGGGCTTTGGACCTGACTTTCCTTTAAGCAAGGACTGAAGCTATCAGTATTACTTGGGAAGTTTTAATTTTTTAGCAGTGATTGGAAACAGTTCACAGAAAGCAAGATGAGTTCAGAAGTGTAGCATTTACAGAGTAGAAAAAAAGATGGTTAATCAACATGTGCTTGTGTTGGTATATTTTAAAAAGACTTGGAATTTTAAGTATGGTTCCTGGAATAACTGTTGGACAATTATTATACATGTTTTTTGTTTAAAAATATTTAACATGTAAAAAATCCACTAAGAAGAAATTGACAAAAGGATGTTGTTCTTGTTTCATATACTTGTCTTAAATAATCCATATAGTTATGAAAGCCACAGCTTAATAAATGGATATCTTGAAACAGCAATGCCTTTTTCCCCACATCAGCAAAGCTGCTTCTGCTGAAGCTAGATTTCTCTTCTTAGATGTTAGCAGCAATTTCGTATAGTTTTAAGTACGATTCCAAGGCATCAGTACAACACGAGCCATGAGAGGGCAACACTTTTGCATAGCCTGTACAGGGAGCTGGGGTTTGGATGACTTCCCCCCCCCCCCCCCAAGTCTCCATTCCAAAAGCTATAGGGCAGTGTAGGGTTGGTTGTGGTTTTTTTGTGATGAGATTAATCTCTTTATCCATTGACAGTGCAGCTAAAAAGAGTACTTTTTTCAGATTGTCTACCTACACTTCAGAACCACTTGCAGTCCCAACAGCAACTGACAAAACTACTAACAAAAAGGTCTAACTGGAGAAATATTCAATTATGTTTTAATTCAAGTGGGGCTTTTTAGTGAGAAATGAGTCCAAATGAACAGTGTATTCTATTCACACTCCCAGCATGGGAGCAGACTTGGCACAAAAATGAATACATAATTAAAGGTGGGTTTGCACTTCAGATTGGTCCAGATTTCAGTTAATTTTCTGCTTTAAACACTTCTTTAGAACCCATACTTTTTTAAAAAATTGTTTGAATTCCAACTCACTGAATTCGCTGAAAGGATGTATTCTCTTCAAAGATTTCAGAAGTTAGTCTTATTTGCAGGTCATTTGGTTGAAATATTTTGAACAAAAACTGTCAGAAAATAGCCTCAGATCTCAAAAGGATTCTTGAGTTTTCATGTTTCTAACAAATTTTCATAATTTTTTTCCTTTTTCTGTAAATCTATAAATGAGGATCCTGGCTCCAAATCTCCAGGAAGAATCTAACAAATCCTTCTCTTAATGAAAACATGCTGGTTGGGTTTTTTTGGATTAGTTTTGATTTTGCTTAATCTAGTCGTAAGGCCTTTTAAAAAGCAGCAGTTAAAACTATAGGCATCACTGTGTTGAGAAGCGTGTCATTCTGTGTTCCTTTTAATTAAAAACAAAAGTGTAGATTAATTTCTCCTCCTCATTGAACCTCCTTATCTCTAGAATATATGACAAAAAAAGCAGTGATGGCTTTTCTGTTCTTGGAAAGAAGAGGTTGGGGTTTTTTGTCATAATCTCTATCACCTTTGTCATCGTGATGGGGGAGGGGGTGGCAAAACAAATATTGAGCTTTGTAAAACTGCACCAATTTACATTTCCTAGTAATTAAATGATTTACATGCAACAAAGAAGTAATTGCTAACTATAGGAAGTAAAAGAGGGAGTGGGGGAGGGTTGGGGAAAATCAGTGGGAAACAAAGACTCTTTGTGGGATCTACAAGAGCCAAACATAGTTTGTTTAAACCAGTTGGGCAGGTTAAATGTAGAGACGCTGCTCTTTCAAGAAGAAATCCCCTAGAATTGTCAATTACTCTTCACTATAGACAATGACTCATTGTCCACTGAATAAACAAAATAAAAAAGCAGTTGTGAACATCATGATAAAAACACCTTTGAGAAAAGCCTATGGTCTTTACAATTCAGACCTAGGTGACAAACTGTGATCCACCTCCAGCATTAGCTTTTCAGTAGCTCCCAGTTTTTTCCCAAAAGGATGAAGGAGTTCTCTTTCACTAAGCACCATATTTCAGTATCTATGTGATCAGCACTGAATCAAGTATGCATTGCAAAAAAATAAAATGCCCGGGGAGAATTCTTTTTAAGTTGAATTTAGTATTTCACAATTATTCCAGCTGTATGTTCACTAATTATATTCCTGATGTTTACTCAGTGAAAACAACTTGTATGGTATGTTAGTACAATGGTGCTGACTGGAAAAAAATCTCCATATGATATATCCACCTCAAAAGTGGCCTACCCTTATCTGAACCTAGCTGTTTCCTATTAGTTAATTAGTATTTAAATCCGGTGATAAAAATGTGATGGAAAGAATGAGCTGTGCATTAGCAGCCTTGATACAGCTCCTCTTAGATATTGTAACTTGGAGTGAATAAAGATAAAGTAACAAATTGCTTTAAAACTCCTGCCACCTCTCAGGTAGAGACCACTTCCAGGCAAAAGGACAGAATGTTCTTACTCAGTGGGTGGGTTTTTTAAGAGCACTTAATAGATTACAACCAGAGAGGCTATTTCTAGTCCAAACTACA